CTGATTTAGATGCTTCTTATGAGACTTGTGTTTTGTTTTGGTAAAAATGGTTTGTATCGTCAGTTAGCTGAGATTATTTCCGTTAATCTGGTATAACACATTAATAGGTTCTTAAATATTACGATCCCCTGAGACACAGTGTCGTGAAAAAAAAGAAGGACCCGCCGAGGGGGTCCTTGGGGCTTAAAAGGACTGAGTTTTAAACATCACTTTAAATGGGAGATCCCCATAGGCCCCGCCCACGCGATCGGATCAGTATCGGCCGATACTGATTCCGGCGATCGGAGCATCCCTACTAAATATGAACCTGAGAATGAGCAGCATAGCACCCCTTTATTTGTATAGATATATATAGATTAAAATGTTACTTAAGTAGTGTATATGTACTTAGTTAATTCCCACTTCTGAATGTGACTTTTTAACCTCGAAAAATTCTGTAGAGTTCAAATGTCTCCATGTTGCTCAATTGTGTTTGCTATAAGGGAAACAGCAGAACAGATGCAACACACAAACATAATTATAACAATAATCTAATTTATTTTACACATCTGTAGACAGTGGTGAAAAGTACATTTACTCAAGTATTGCAATTAAGTACACATTTGAGGTACTCTACTTGTATACTTCACTCCACTACTATTTCTTTGGTAAGATTTATTTTGTAGTAACTTTATCAATTCAGTGTTTGACACACAACACTAAGGGAAAGCTTTTAAAACATGATTATTTGGTTTAGTTTAAACCATCCAACATCATATTGAAGGAACTAAACCCATGAGGAGGACTGAGATCAAATGTATATGAATTCAGATCGTTTGTTGAAAAATAATTTCACAATATTTCCAAAATATTTTTTGCGTTTTTTCCGAAATTAGTACTTTTATTCCTGATACTTATAGTACACTATATCTAATACTTTTACTTACATTCTCGATGCAGTACTTTTACTTGAAAATTAGTATTTTTTACACGGTTTTCAAGAATCCGAGTACTTTTCTCTATGTCTGTCTGTAGGTCATATCTGAGTGAGCACATCTGGATTTTAAATCCTACCCAGATGTGTGTAACAGTATAAAGTGCAAATAGAAAGTTTGTTTTTAAGTCACTTACAAGGTTTAATACAAGAGAAGTTAAAGCTCCGTTACCTCTGAGAACAGGGCGGCTTTTCCGCTTCCATCTGCGGGCAAACCGACGAGAAATGCTCGGTAAAGTAATCCAGCTGGTGCCGCTGAAAGGCTGAAATGAAACCAACAAAACCCAGATAAAGTCCGCTGCTGTGTTCGCTACATCCGGTCTAAGAGTGTGGAGAAAAGCAGGTTGAATTATAATAAGATTTTCTCTGGTTGTGTCGCTTCTATCCAAACTTTCCCCCCGGAGAAACCGAGAGATCCTGACCGAGCAGGAGCAGCTTCAGGCGGATCTGATGATCGGAGAGAGACGGGGAGCAGAAGAAGGAGGTCTCACTCTGATGGAGATTCTGGAGGGCGAGTTTTTTTAAACAAAACCGAACAAGCGAGAGTGAAAAGGTCAAGGACAACATTTAATTATTAACAGAGGTGGGAAGTAACTCCTTTACTCAAGTACTGTACTCAAGTGCAATTTTGAGGTACTTGTACTTTACCTGAGTATTCCCATTTGCTGCTATCTTGTACTACTCCACTACATGTATTTAATCCCTTGTGACCACCTATTAATAGACTGGGACATAATTCATACATGGAATTACAGTTGGGGGTATTGTTCCCAAACGGACATGTTATGTGTTTACTATATATGTTGACGTCTCGCTCTTCTTCCCGGACTGCAACCGGATAACATTACCTTAATTACTCTCTAATAAAGTAGGCTACCCTTTTGCACCTTCCTTGCACCGCCTCTGACTCCCTATCTCTCGGCACTACACTGGTGACCCTGACAACGTCTCGAGAAGTTTCTGGGACGGACCCGAACACGGCAAAAGAAACGCAAGTTTTTTTCTCTAAATGCCGGGCATTTTTGGAATCGTCCGTGGCTGCCACCGGCACGCGGACTGAGGCTCGGTGCACAGCACGCCCCGCAGAAGAGCTGGGGACGTTGCTCGCCATTCCCGCATCGGCCTTCCAACCAACAGGGGATGGACCCGATTGCTACCTTGTGGGGTTGTTTCTTCGGGACGTACGGCTGGACCCTGTCTGGCCTCTCATCTGTCCACGGCTCCTTTCTCCCGGGGAGACTGCTCCTGCCTCCCGGGGATACCTCAAGGCTTGCCAAGAATTTCGTGCCCGCTGCCGCTGTGCGTTTGCCTGCGGCCGGGATGCTCTACTGCTTCCCGGGGATACCTCAACGCTTCGTGCCCGCCGCCGCTGCGCATCTGCCTGCGGTCGGGTTGCTCTCCTTCCTCCCGGGGAGACTGCTCCTGCCTCCCGGGGATACCTCAACGCCTGCTGAGGACTTTGTGCTCACCGCCGCTGCGCATCTGCCTGCGGCCGGGTTGCGCTCCTTCCTCCCGGGGTGACTATTCCTGCCTCCTTGGGATACCGCTCCGTCCTTCCGGGGACTTCATTCGCCACGACACCTACTGCGGCCCCCTTACGATGGCCCGTTCCGGCCTGCCCCCGGTGTGGGTGCCCTCGCCCTCGTTAGGGCCCCTGCCCTCTCCTGCGGCCCCCTTTCGTCGGCCCGTTCCGTGGCCCGGCCCTCACCTGTGACCCCACCCTCCTCGGCCCCTGTGGTGCTTCCTCCCGGACGCGGGGATTTTTTTTGCCATGTTTGAATTCTGGGGGGGCTTGTGTGGTGACCACCTATTAATACACTGGGACATAATTCATACATGGAACTAGTTGGGGGTATTGTTCCCACACGGACATGTTATGTGTTTACTGTATATGTTGTGTGCCTCCTGACTTCTCTCTCTTCTTCCCGGACTGCAACCGGATAACATGACCTTAATTACTCTCTAATAAAGTACCCTTTTGTACCTTCCTTGCACCGCCTCTGACTCCCTATATCTCTCGGCACAACACCCTTTAGTTACTTCACAGATCTGGATAAATGATGTGAAATCTAATCAAGTGTTAAATCAGACTTTAGTTCCACCTGGAGTAAATCCACCAGCTACCCTGCAGAATACAAAGTACTTCAAACTAGCTGCACCTTCACCAGCTTTGAGAACACTTTCATGATCAATCATTATAAAACATATATATATTATTCTGAAATGGACCAATCTGCACAACGACTACTTTTACTGTCGCTACTTTCTCTATATTTTGATGAGAATACTTTTCTACTTTCACTTGAGGAACATTTTGAATGCAGGACTTTTACTGTAACAGAGTATTCCTACACTCTGGTACTTCTACTTTTACTCAAGAACAAGACCTGAGTACTTCTACTTTCACTCAAGTACAAGATCTGAGTACTTCTACTTTACTCAAACACAAGATCTGAGTACTTCTACTTTTACTCAAGCACAAGATCTGAGTACTTCTACTTTTACTCAAGCACAAGATCTGAGTACTTCTACTTTACTCAAACACAAGATCTGAGTACTTCTACTTTTACTGAAGTACAAGATCTGAGTACTTCTACTTTTACTCAAGTACAAGATCTGAGTACTTCTACTTTTACTCAAGTACAAGATCTGAGTACTTCTACTTTTACTCAAGCACAAGATCTGAGTACTTCTACTTTTACTCAAGTACAAGATCTACAGTCTAATATTAATCTGTGTTAATCTGACTCTTGTTATACCTCAGAGTGATTCATCCTTCATTGTCTGCAGCTCATAGAAGATCTTTGCCACGTCTCTGCCGCTGAATGTAATGACTCTGTGGCGCCATCTGCTGGTGAAAATACTGCATTACACAACAGTGTGTAAGGTGGCCACTACCACACTGTAGAACATACCCTGTTATAAGCAGTGGCGTAGCGAGGAATTATTATGTGGGTGGGCCAGGGGGAGACTTATTAAGCGTGGGGTATGAGCTGAAACTTCATTAATGATTTTATTTATTATTTTATTTATTATTTTTAATGCACTAATTAAACATAAGCCTAAACTAGCAGTGAAAACAAAAACATAGGCACGGCGGCCTCAGAATGTGTGTAAAACTGACATCCACATGATTTAGCTCAGCGGCCACAGGTTGTTTATCCTTGACAGTCGCACAGTGGGCACACACTGAGAGTGTTTTCATATTCAGCAAATGTGTACACGCTTCACTGCAGACCTCAAGAAGGAATAAGACTTTCATTCACTCACGGCAAAACTTACTTTACTTACTAATTTACTCACGGTAAAAAAAAAATGCACTCCCTTTGTCATGAAGGTGGAATCTAACTATATCCAGAATAAGTTGTATTGGATCCAGGCTAGAAACATGTTTATTTCTGCTGTAACGTTGGGCATTTTAAAATGGGGGTCTATGGGAATTGCTCCCTTCTGCATCCATCCCCTGTTGGCCACTAGAGGAACTGCAGTTTGTGGCACTTCCTTCTGGGCTTGTCAGGAATGTCAAAATCGCTATGACGCGCTGATTGGCTGTGGGTGGGTCAGACGTGCATGTGGGTGGGCCCAGGCTCCCCCGGGCCCACCCACAGCTACGCCACTGGTTATAAGTATAAGGAAGGCATTTCAAATGTTACTTAAATGTAAAAAAAAAAGTACTTTTAATATACTACATATAATTAAAATATTATCACTCATGCATTAAAGTAAAATAATAATTTCAATGTTCTTTTTTGGTTAAGGTATAAATAATTTGAACCTATTAACTAATTATTAATATGGTTTGATAGAAATGTGTTGATTGTATCATTATAATAATAATAATAATAATAATAAAATGATATTAATATTGTAATACTACTACTACTAATAATAAAAATAATAAAAATAAAATACTAATAAAAAAATATTTTAAAAATTATACAATAATATTAAAATAAACAAATGATAATAATAATTCACAAAGTGCACTATGTGGTGGAAGCAGAATTTAAACACTTCAGGACTTAAGTGAGGCAAACGAAATCAAGGTGTTTAATAAAAATAAGACAAAAATAGAAAACAATAAAATAGAAAACAATACTATGACATGAAAAATAATATTAAGAATATTAATAAGATAACGATATTTGTGCAGCTTTAATAAACACCTTTCATAAACACATATCAATATTATATATTAGTATAGTGTGAATGGATATAAATCACATTAAAGTGAAATATATAAGAGTCACTTGGTGTTTGTTTTGATTTTCAGATTCTAAAAGCGTTCATGTTGTTGTTGTTGTTGTTGTGAAAGCGTCCTCAGGCTCTGCAGCGCCCCCTGCTGCCCGGCTGTGATGAGCGACCTCCTGAAGCAACAGGGAGTTACAAAGTTTCCACTTCCTGTAGGTCGGCGCCGCGAGAGCCGGGTCGTTCAGAATCTGATCCAGAGTCTGCAGCTCACTCTGTTTCGCCTGAAGGACGCAGAGAAGAAGAAATACCATTCGTGGAAAGCACATTTACAACGGTGAGATGTTGACGTATATTTACTTTACTTAAAGGTCCCCTATTATCCTCTTCTTCATCAATATCTCACAGGTCTCAGATATATCCAGAGCCTGTCTCTGATTGGCTGAAACACCAAACAGATCATTGCAGCATTACCCATAATCCCCTCTGTTTCAGCCCTGTTTCCAAAGTGCTGATCACTGTTCAGAATCTCTTTCCACAGAGGGGGGGACACAAGTTGATGTAGAGGAGACATGAAGAAGATGGGACACAAGTTGATGTAGAAGAGGCATGAAGAAGAGGGGACACAAGTTGATGTAGAAGAGGCATGAAGAAGAGGGGACACATGTTGATGTAGAAGAGACATGAAGAAGAGGGGACACAAGTTGATGTAGAAGAGGCATGAAGAAGAGGGGACACATGTTGATGTAGAAGAGACATGAAGAAGAGGGGACACATGTTGATGTAGAAGAGACATGAAGAAGAGGGGACACATGTTGATGTAGAAGAGACATGAAGAAGAGGGGACACATGTTGATGTAGAAGAGACATGAAGAAGAGGGGACACAAGTTGATGTAGAAGAGGCATGAAGAAGAGGGGACACATGTTGATGTAGAAGAGACATGAAGAAGAGGGGACACATGTTGATGTAGAAGAGACATGAAGAAGAGGGGACACATGTTGATGTAGAAGAGACATGAAGAAGAGGGGACACATGTTGATGTAGAAGAGACATGAAGAAGAGGGGACACATGTTGATGTAGAAGAGACATGAAGAAGAGGGGACACAAGTTGATGTAGAAGAGGCATGGAGAAGAGGGGACACATGTTGATGTAGAAGAGACATGAAGAAGAGGGGACACATGTTGATGTAGAAGAGACATGAAGAAGAGGGGACACATGTTGATGTAGAAGAGACATGAAGAAGAGGGGACACAAGTTGATGTAGAAGAGGGCATGAAGAAGAGGGGACACATGTTGATGTAGAAGAGACATGAAGAAGAGGGACACAAGTTGATGTAGAAGAGGCATGGAGAAGAGGGGACACATGTTGATGTAGAAGAGACATGAAGAAGAGGGGACACATGTTGATGTAGAAGAGACATGAAGAAGAGGGGACACATGTTGATGTAGAAGAGACATGAAGAAGAGGGGACACATGTTGATGTAGAAGAGACATGGAGAAGAGGGGACACATGTTGATGTAGAAGAGACATGAAGAAGAGAGGACACATGCTGATGTAGAAGAGACATGAAGAAGAGGGGACACATGTTGATGTAGAAGAGACATGAAGAAGAGGGGACACATGTTGATGTAGAAGAGACATGAAGAAGAGGGGACACATGTTGATGTAGAAGAGACATGGAGAAGAGGGGACACATGTTGATGTAGAAGAGACATGAAGAAGAGGGGACACAAGTTGATGTAGAAGAGGCATGGAGAAGAGGGGACACATGTTGATGTAGAAGAGACATGAAGAAGAGGGGACACATGTTGATGTAGGAGAGACATGAAGAAGAGGGGACACATGTTGATGTAGAAGAGACATGAAGAAGAGGGACACATGTTGATGTAGAAGAGACATGAAGAAGAGGGGACACATGTTGATGTAGAAGAGACATGGAGAAGAGGGGACACATGTTGATGTAGAAGAGGCATGGAGAAGAGGGGACACATGTTGATGTAGAAGAGACATGAAGAAGAGGGGACACATGTTGATGTAGAAGAGACATGGAGAAGAGGGGACACATGTTGATGTAGAAGAGACATGAAGAAGAGAGGACACATGTTGATGTAGAAGAGACATGAAGAAGAGAGGACACATGTTGATGTAGAAGAGACATGAAGAAGAGGGGACACATGTTGATGTAGAAGAGACATGAAGAAGAGAGGACACATGTTGATGTAGAAGAGACATGAAGAAGAGGGGACACATGTTGATGTAGAAGAGACGTGAAGAAGAGAGGACTCATGTTGATGTAGAAGAGACATGAAGAAGAGGGGACACATGTTGATGTAGAAGAGACATGGAGAAGAGGGGACACATGTTGATGTAGAAGAGACGTGAAGAAGAGGGGACACATGTTGATGTAGAAGAGACATGAAGAAGAGGGGACACATGTTGATGTAGAAGAGACATGGAGAAGAGGGGACACATGTTGATGTAGAAGAGACGTGAAGAAGAGGGGACACATGTTGATGTAGAAGAGACGTGAAGAAGAGGGGACACATGTTGATGTAGAAGAGACATGAAGAAGAGGGGACACATGTTGATGTAGAAGAGACATGAAGAAGAGGGGACACATGTTGATGTAGAAGAGACATGAAGAAGAGGGGACACATGTTGATGTAGAAGAGACATGAAGAAGAGGGGACACATGTTGATGTAGAAGAGACATGGAGAAGAGGGGACACATGTTGATGTAGAAGAGACGTGAAGAAGAGGGGACACATGTTGATGTAGAAGAGACGTGAAGAAGAGGGGACACATGTTGATGTAGAAGAGACATGAAGAAGAGGGGACACATGTTGATGTAGAAGAGACATGAAGAAGAGGGGACACATGTTGATGTAGAGGAGACACGAAGAAGAGGGGACACATGTTGATGTAGAAGAGACATGAAGAAGAGGGGACACATGTTGATGTAGAAGAGACATGAAGAAGAGGGGACACATGTTGATGTAGAAGAGACATGAAGAAGAGGGGACACATGTTGATGTAGAAGAGACATGAAGAAGAGGGGACACATGTTGATGTAGAAGAGACATGGAGAAGAGGGGACACATGTTGATGTAGAAGAGACGTGAAGAAGAGGGGACACATGTTGATGTAGAAGAGACGTGAAGAAGAGGGGACACATGTTGATGTAGAAGAGACATGAAGAAGAGGGGACACATGTTGATGTAGAAGAGACATGAAGAAGAGGGGACACATGTTGATGTAGAGGAGACATGAAGAAGAGGAATAGGGGACCTTCAAAGGGTGCTTCTCCACTGCAGTGTTTCTCACCTTCATCGTGCTGCTGAGGATCCTCAGAAGGTGAAGCTCTTCGTTGATCTTGTCGTCGGGACAGCGGCGGATGAACGAGGCTCTGAAGTCTTTCTGAGACGACTGACCAATGGGTGAGAGGCGTGCGGCCTCAATCTTGTCAGGAGGAGGATCTGCAAAAAGACCAGGAGGACTGATTTATTATTTTAATTAAGGATTATCATTTGTTTATATATCATTTGTAAGTCAATCATATTTTTGTTTATTGATTTGATACTGCTTGAGTTTGTACAGTATCATAATTATTATTTTGTATTATTGTTTTAGACGTTCTAAATAAATCTAATCAAATGCAACAGAACCAGAGATGATTGTATTTGTTATTAAACACGTTCTTCTTCTCTTTTCATTAGTGATGTTCAGATTTTTTAGTGAAAGCACTTCTACTAAACGGAAGACTTTAGCCCAGTGTTTCTCAAACTTTTTCATACCAAGGTCCACCTAACTCCACAAATATCCAAAATCACATCGTTTTTCTAGAACAGATGACAAATTGCCTGAAAATTGTACAAACAAGTGGCAACATGTGTGATGAAGGTGTGGCGCTGGGCTATATCACGCAATCGAAAGGGAAACTTAAGCTCGCTCCATTGCGGAGATATTCCCGCGACAGTGCGGAAAACTCTAATTAATTAATTAATTTAAAATGTGACATTTTACCAATATACTCACGGACCACTAGGGGGCGCATGCGGACCACACTTTGAGAAACACTGCTTTAGGTGATGTTCCTGCTTTTATAACGTTATGAAAGTTAAAGTATGGAATGTATAATAATAATAATAATTATAAATAAAAAAATAAATAGAATAATAATAAATAATTATAATAGCCCAAAAATTAAAAAACAACAATTACAAGAATAATAAATCTAATAATCAGATTGAAAAACGAATTAAACTAATATTAATAATAATAAAAAAAATTACTACCAATAATAATAATAATAATAATAACTAATAAATGCCTCGAATAAAAAATAGGAAATTAAATGTAAACAATTATTTATAACTATTAGAAATATTATTGCATAACTTTTGTATTATTATTTAATGTCCAACTTCTATTCTTCTTATTTCTTTTTGAATGATCGCGATTATGACGGCACGTATGGAGCGAGTTAAAACAAACTTTAATCCAAATCCAACATTTTTATCACTCAGCTCCTGAAACACGAGAGGTGTATTTTAACAACAACAAAACAACAACACCTGTAAACAAACAAATGTGTGTTTACCTGTGACGGCCTCTCCTCCTCCTCCTTCTTCTTCTCTCTCTTCTGGGACGTGCAGCAGAGGGACAGACGCTCCTCCTTCTTCTTCTCTCTCTTCTGGGACGTGCAGCAGAGGGACAGACGCTCCTCCTTCTTCTTCTCTCTCTTCTGGGACGTGCAGCAGAGGGACAGACGCTCCTCCTTCTTCTTCTCTGTCTTCTGGGACGTGCAGCAGAGGGACAGACGCTCCTTCTTCTTCTTCTCTCTCTTCTGGGACGTGCAGCAGAGGGACAGACGCTCCTCCTTCTTCTTCTCTCTCTTCTGGGACGTGCAGCAGAGGGACAGACGCTCCTCCTTCTTCTTCTCTCTCTTCTGGGACGTGCAGCAGAGGGACAGACGCTCCTCCTTCTTCTTCTCTCTCTTCTGGGACGTGCAGCAGAGGGACAGACGCTCCTTCTTCTTCTTCTCTCTCTTCTGGGACGTGCAGCAGCGGGACAGACGCTCCTCCTTCTTCTTCTCTCTCTTCTGGGACGTGCAGCAGAGGGACAGACGCTCCTTCTTCTTCTTCTCTCTCTTCTGGGACGTGCAGCAGAGGGACAGACGCTCCTCCTTCTTCTTCTCTCTCTTCTGGGACGTGCAGCAGAGGGACAGACGCTCCTCCTTCTTCTTCTCTCTCTTCTGGGACGTGCAGCAGAGGGACAGACGCTCCTCCTTCTTCTTCTCTCTCTTCTGGGACGTGCAGCAGAGGGACAGACGCTCCTCCTTCTTCTTCTCTGTCTTCTGGGACGTGCAGCAGAGGGACAGACGCTCCTCCTTCTTCTTCTCTCTCTTCTGGGACGTGCAGCAGAGGGACAGACGCTCCTCCTTCTTCTTCTCTCTCTTCTGGGACGTGCAGCAGCGGGACAGACGCTCCTCCTCGCCCCCCCCCCACTCTTCTTCTTCCTCTTCTTCCCTTTCTGCTCAGAGGTCCCTCCTCCTCCTCACTACAGGGGGGGGGAGGGAGGGCCTCAGAGGGAGGCGGGACATCTTCTCCCTGAGAGGAGGACACACGGTGGGTTTTAATATAAAATGTAAATGTCTGAAGGAATTAAAAATAAATGTTTATGATTCTCACGTTGTCCGATTCTGCTGCTTCCTGCACCGAGGTCAGAGAACAGGAAGTGGACAAGCACTCCTCGTTATCGTCCTGATCGCTGCCCTCACTGTAGCACTCTGCGCACACACACACACACACAGTTATATTCCTGTATTCATTCATGATACATGTTATATTTCCTGTATTTCTGACCTTCAGTGTCGATCAGCTCACTCGGCTCAGCTGCTTCTGACAGTTTACTGATCCACCTGAACACACACACACACACACACACACACACACACACACACACACACACACACACACACACACACACACACACACACACACACACCCACACACACACACACACACACACACACACACACACACACACACACACACACACACACACACACACACACACACACACACACACACACACACACACACACACACACACACACACACACACACACACCTCTTTTAGGACTTTCACTTAACTCCTTTCCCTTTCTCTCCTCACCTCGTTTCCTCTCCTTTTCTCTTGTTACCTCTCCTTCTCTCTAGTCTCCTCTTCTATTCTCCTATTCTCTTGTTTCCTCTCCTCTCCCATTCTCTTGTTACCTCTAGTTTCCTCTCCTATTCTCTTGTTTCCTCTCCTATTGTCTAGTTTCCCTTATTTCACTGTTTTCTACTCACCTCACTTCCTTCTCCTCTCCTCACCTCTCATTTCCTCCGTCCTCCACTTGTTGCCTTCGTCTGTCTGTTATCACTGACAGCATCACTAAAGCTCGTACAGTAAGTGACTCGGCACCATGACAGTGAAGTTCATTCTAATAATAAAATGACTCGCCATCTTCTCGCTGCACAAAACAAGAAGTGGATAAAAGCTGAGAGATGATACGAGGAAGAAGAGGAAGAAGAGGAAGAAGAGGAAGAAGAGGAAGAAGAGGAAGAAGAGGCAGAAGAGGAAGTGCTCAAAACGATCTCCAGTGCAGAGATAACAGAGATAAAGAACCTCATGGCTGCTGTGGAGGTTCGGATCCTTAGAGGGGGATTCACACTCATTTCGATGACCTCTGACCTCTCCTCTAGCGCCACAAACAACACAAAAAGAGAGAGAGAGAGACAGAGAGAGAGAGAGAGAGACAGAGAGAGAGAGACAGAGACAGAGAGAGAGAGAGAGACAAGGACAGAGACAGAGAGACAGAGAGAGGAGAGAGAGAGAGAGAGAGAGAGAGAGAGAGAGAGAGAGAGAGAGAGAGAGAGAGAGAGAGACAGAGAGAGAGAGAGACAGAGAGAGAGAGAGACAGAGAGAGGAGAGGATTTCTCATTTCTCTAACTGCCTGCTGCTTCCCCTCCTCTCTCCTCAGTTCCCCTCCTCTCTCCTCAGTTCCCCTCCTCGGTTCCTCCGCTCGCATCTTCTGTGGGCGGGACTAAGACACGAGGATAGGAGTCGAGGATAGGAGTCGAGGAGGGGACATTAGAGAATTGAGAAGCCTTCAGTGTGTTTACCTGTGACGGCCTCTCCTTCAAAAATGAATGTTAGAATAGATATTTGTTGGAAGAATTCAAAGTAATGGCTCTGGACAGATGCTACAAAGGACAGTTTCATCCCTCAGGCCATAAGACTATTAAACACCTGAACCTTTTAAAGAACATCCATAACATTCATCTGTTTATCTAATATATCATATACCCTTTACTTATATATAGACTGTTCTTGCACTATTTCTATTTGATTTGTATTTACTTGCACATCTCCAAACATGCTCTTGTGTCATGGAATAATTTGCTTAGGTATTCAACCTTCGACACAGTTCATCATTTCCTCCTCTCACTGTCTCCTTTCCCACGGCATAGGTCTACGGCCTTGGGTATTGCTGCTATCTCTCTTAAGGGGGAGGAGCTTGGGTATTGCTGCT